TATATATATATATATATATATATATATATATATATATTTGTTTCGCTCTGACATTGAAAACTTAATATTCTTCACTCCCAGTATTAAACCTTTCCTTCATAAAGCATGTTGACATTTTGGAAGCGTTTGTCCAGTTGCCTACTCATCAATAACGTTTATGCAGTTGCACACAAAATGTGTTTCTTTGGGAAGCTGTGGAAATGTTTTCAAATATCTTGAGATTTCTTTAGATTAGTTTAAGACAGTCTGATTCTAAATGCAATCCATTAGGATTTACTATATTCTTTTTAATAATTGATGTAGCTTCTTTAATATGCATGTTCTGGTTCATGAACTTTATCTTTATTTTACAGCAACTTTATGAGATTAGTAAGTTCCCGTATAAAATGCTGAGATCATAAATGGTCAATTAATTTATAACTTTCAGCTTAGGCCTCATAGATTCATATTGATCAAGGCAACTGTTCTATAATCCCTTCACACTTAAAGGCTCCTTATAAGCTATTTTAGGTCAACGGAAAACTTCAAAGAATTTTAAAGTAGAGAGTGGACCTATAGAAAGGTACAAGAGCCAACATTGTACAGAGCCAAAAGAGGAGCTGGCACCTGGATTTGGTGAAAGCTGGGAAGTATAGAAATCATTGAATAGACTGTGCATGGGTACCACTAGATCCAGAGATACTCTGAACAAATGGGGCTATTTGGTGGTTTCTCTCTTTTTTTGATTGTGGTGACATGCAGACAAGAACACATATGTATACCTGTCCTTTGTATCCTGATCAGTGCCCATTTGAAGACCTCATGGCCTTACAACAGAACACAATTAATGTTGTTAGTTTCTGTTTAACTTGTATGTATTTAATCTTGTTTTTTATGTTTTAAATTTTATGTCATATAGTATGCCTTATTTTAATTGAGATGCTTGTGACATGAATAAACAAATTAATTGGGGAACCCAGGTTCAGGTAATAACCCATGTTATTAACTTAACAACTGCAATGATTCCCTTAACAACTATGGCAGGAAAGATTGTGAAATGAGGCAAAATTCACATTATTGTCTTGCTTAGCAACTGAAATTTCTGATTCAGTTGTGGTTGCAAGTTGAGGGCTACCTATATGTATTTGCTTGAATACTGAGGTTGAATCTGTTTCACATATCCTTTTAAAAATTCCTCTTGATCAATACAATACACCCAATCTTGAGTCTGTTAAACACTCATGATGAAGAGATTGAGGTATTCTTATTAAATGACCAAAACTCAAGTTTTCAAAGGCAGTAGCAAAATTTTAATTTATATACTTAGCTTATAGAACTATTTGCTGCTATCAATGAAATGTTAATTTCTAGGGGTTCTTCCTTTTATATGTATGTACTATATATAGTTATTTATGCATGTACTAAGGCTTTAGCTCTTTCATACATAATTAAATCTATACCCTCATGAATTTCATATATTAATCAGTTCTACTCCACCAGATAATACCATTTTTGTTCAGCTCCATTGCATTCTTCCCCTTTCTCTTCATTTCAGATACCAATAACAGAAATATTTGTTCATTATGAAGTCATTATTTCATGTTCTTTACCCCATGTACTCATCTTTCAAGTTACAATGTTGTTGGCATTTCAGTTGTTATCAAATGGGTCTTTAAATATTCCATCGGTCAATCAAAACTTTCACAAAATGCTTTTTCAGAAATGTGAGAATTAGAGATCATATTAGCAGCTTTAATGTACTCATGCCACATATAATATTCCCTATTCATAGTAAAGAAAATACTGAGCTGTTCTGGCACAATTTGGTCAGGTACAATGGAAACTTATTTTTACCCCAAGCATACTCACATTATTTTACACAAGCTAAGATTTAAAATCTAAATATTATTTTGCAAACCAATTTAGGAAATGGTCTTTAAAACACCTTTCCCTAATAGTTTACGAGAATAGCAAGGGAAGCACAAAAAATCCACAAAGCACTCAGTGGAGGAAGTAACAGTTGGTAGAAAATGGTAATGAGAAAAAAGTATAATCAGTAGGGAATAGCATTTAAAACATTACTAAGGCAATAGCAGTGAATAATCCCTGGGTGAAATGGAAGAATTTATCCACTATAGTTTTTAAGGAAAAGAAGGTCACTATATAATCTTTTCTTTGAGTGATCTGGATAAACAGTGGAGAGGAGGGAAAAGATTGATGAAAGCATTTAAGTCAGGAGTTCAGCAGGAGACATTGGAAAAATACATAGACTCATATTATATTGTAACATATATATAGATTGGGAATGGGGGGGGGAGAACAGAAAGGATAAGGACAAGAATTGGTAGTAGACAGAACTTCTAAATGTTTATGAAAGGTTATCTGAGGGACCGTCTTCTTGCCGGTCATATCTACCCGACCCACCAGAGAGGGAAGACAAAGAATGTTGTGGATCTCATCCCCTAGGAAGATAAACTGGTGGGTCCCAGAGGAAGGTTCTTCTCTGTGGTGGCTCCCACTCTCTGGAACATCTTTCCCTGAGAAATTAGAATGCCCTCCCACTCTAACACTCTTCCAGAAGGCACTAAAGATCTGGTTCTGCCAGTGGGCCTGGGGAATGCAGAGTGGAATGGAGCCCATTAAATGACTCATGTGATGTGTTGTCGCTGGGATGGGGGAGGTTATTTATTATATGATTTATTATAAGATTCTTTCTTTTATTTCATTGTTTTTATATGTTTTTAATATTCTTGTAAGCCAACTTGAGTTGCCATGTACAAATAGACAGCAGTACAAATTTCCAAAATAAATAAAAGGGCATAACGGAAGGCATCAATTCTTCTTGGGTGCCTCATTTCAACATGACTATTGGCATCCTAAATTTATGGTTCACCTGGAGCTGGGATTCAGATTAATTCAAATGATGGACATTGTTATTCAATTCCTTTCTCTGATGTAGACTCAGTTGAACAGGAATTGTGCGGCTGTAAGATCAGAGGAGGAAATGGACTGGAAGGGAAGTTCTTTGAAAGTCCAGCAGTCTCTTTGGGTGTACGTACAAGTTCAGCTCAATGAAGAACATTAATAAGCCTTTGCACATTTCATAGTCTCAATAGCTGGGCTTATGTCCAATACGCTAAGGACCTTTGTTGCAAAGAGGTTTCTTTCTGGAAAAAGGAAAAACTTGTAAAGTGTTAGGCACTTAGATAACATAGATCTGGACTCTTAATTACACAGTTTCCCTTAAGTGGCTCCAGCTGTTGATGGAGATATGAGCTGGAAATGAGTTTTTTTCCTTCTCTTTCTGGCTAGAAAAGGGGTTTTATACCTGGTGGGTGCAAATTATTCGGGGTGGGGGTGTACCTAAATTGTAATCTCAAAGAGAAGGTTGAAAAAAGTTTCTGACTGTCTTAGAATTATTCTATTATTTGTTTTCAGGATGATCAGCACTGAGGAGATCTATAATGCAATGACCTTTTCACCAGAATGCCTGTATGCTAGTTGCATCTCCCTACAATTAAAGTGTTGTCTTTAGGCAGTTGTCATTAAACTCAACCTAAAAGGTCACACTCACAAATGGCAAGGGGAAGAAGGAAAGGAGATTTTTCATAAACATTGCCCTCTAATAACC